ACATAATATCACATTTCATGCTTTCATCATAACATACCATGACCGGCGATTCATAAGAAATTATCTCAACGATCACATAAACATTCTAAGCATAATACATTACATCACATTATATCGCACATTGAGTTGTTACAAAAAAAATATATGTTCACATTACATATTTTTACGAATTAAATCGTACGGTCTAAACACACAAGTTATGACACGTGCGAAACCATGAGCATGTGCCAACATGCAGCATACAATTTTTGCATAACCTATGACGGTAGAGCCACTAAATTAGTAGGCCTTAACCGACGTACTCCCTAAACTATACATAAGCTCCTAGCTCCTCATACACATCCTACGCTATCGACGGTGGTTGATTCTTATTAGGGTCGAAAAAGATTTTCGGTTCGTGGTGCGGGCATACAAGAAGAATTGAAAAAAAGTGGAAATGGAATTAGAATTGGGCCTATAGATTTTAGAGTAGAAGATGGGGTTTTGAGGATAAGAGTGAAGTTTTAACCACTATTTAACCATATTCGTAGCTATAACACCATTTCTAACTACAACACTATAACAAATCTCCTAAATAGTGGTTAACCATATTCCTAAATAGTGTTATAGTTAGAAATTGATAAATGGGAAGTTATAGTATTAATTGTGTTAATATCTTCTCCACTGTAACAAATCTACTATAACCATACACTATTTAGGATAAGAGCCACCACTGTTTAACCACTATTTAGGAATGCGGTTGACAGCAAAATTAATACGAACAAGAGGAATGCATTTTACAGCAGAATTAGCAATGCAATTGCCACCACTATTTAACCACTATCAAGGAATATGGTTCACTTCAAAATTCGAATGGAGGGAAGGGTTTGGTAAAAAATTAGTTGGCCAAAATTCCATCCTTGTCACACCTCATTTATTTTATTATTATTATTATACATATATTTTTTTTTAATCCTTACATTATACACCTCTAAAAGAAACTTTGTCTTTTAAAGTATGTTCTAACGTGGCAGTTTGCATGTGTAGTCTCACCTCCATACTTGACGAAGACAATATCTTTATTGGGTAAGACAACTTGCGGTTAAGATTTTCATAAGCTTCTCTTTGTAGCTTAATTCCTTGTTAAATTGACGGGTTTATAGTCTATTAGTAAATGAGGTTGGTTGTACATAGGGTGGTAGTGGTATGCTATATGTCACTAGAGTCTATTAATTTGTCTTGAAATCTTATCTAGACTAGGGTCCTTATACTCCGTTCTCTAAAATCGATGCTCCATTGCATCAAGTCATTTTTTTCTTCTGGACACCTAATGTTGACACAACCAGAAGCGTCCGCGTGTGCAAGTCGATGTCGGGTCGAGGCGCAGGTCGTTAGGCGGTTCGGGTCTCAGTCATGGTTTTTGGGCTGGGTTCTATTATTGGGCCGCGGGAATTCTATTTGGGCTGTCGAAGATGAACTGGGTCGCAAATGGTTTGGAGTCGGGTTTGAGGTCTCGGGTCGCAACTAATGGGGTTGGGCCGAGGCGCGGATGTCTTTGGGCTGCGGTTTCTTTCATTGGGTCAAGGTAGACTGGGCTGCAGACGAGTTGGGATCCCGGTTCAAGTCGCGGGTCCGGATTCGTCTTCTTCACCCGATTACCAGAAAAAGTTCCGGCAACTTTTCTCTAATATCTGCAGACGAGTTGGTGAAAAGCTCTCGCATGAGGATACTACTCACTATTGAAGTGTTGTTGGTGAAAAGCTCTCACATGAGGATACTACTCACTATTGAAGTGTTGTTGGTGCTCTCTAATATTTGTCTCTGATATCTCCTTTTGTGTCAATAGAGTGTGCCAGTTCATGTCCTCCCCGACGACTTCTGTACATTGGGCAGCGGTCAAACGAATTCTTCGTTATCTACATGACATTATTGATATTGACTTGTATTTTACAAAATTCAGCACTAATTTGCTTAGTGCCTTGTCAGATGCTGATTAGGTGGGAAAATCTTGATGACCGTCGAAGCATTGGAGGCTATGCGATCTTCTTTGGTGGCAATCCTATCTCTTGGAGTTCAAGGAAATAATCGAAAATTTCTAGTTCTAGTACGGAGGCTGAATACAAGGTGGTTGTTGATGCCACTGCCGAATTAATCTTGATCCAAGTCCTCTTGCGTGAGCTCAGGATTTCACAAGCGCGAGTGCCTAGCTTGTGGTGTGACAACATTGGTGCCACTTATTTGTCTGTCAATCCAGTCTTTCATCGACGAACGAAGCATGTTGAGGTTGATTATCACTTCATTCGTGAACGAGTATTGACTCGTCAGCTTGATGTGTGGCTCATATCTTCCAAGGATTAGCTCGCCGATATCATGATAAAGCCACTGCTAGCTCCTTCTTTTAGGAGTTTTCGGCGCAATCTGAACTTAGTAGTGCATTATCCAAATTGAGGGAGTGGTGAAGTAGAAGGTTATATTTATACATAGAAGGAGTGGTGAAGTAGAAGGTTATATTTATACATAGAAGGAGAATCCTTTATTCATGGAGCTGCATCTCCTATTTACGGGTTTGTTACCGTGCCGTGGATCAATGTCCACCATGTAATCCTCAAAAAGTCGTGACCCATAGAGGTCATTGCATCATTCAACCTTACAGTATAAATGCTTCCAAGTAATTGAAATTAGGAGGAAAGAGTCCGAGCATATCAAATCCAAGCTGGATCAGCTAAAATGTTAACATTGAGCCATCAGAAAGTGTATTCTCCCACTTACTCAAATAGTTCAAGTGGAATGCTAAAATAAAGTGAGAGACCTCTCTTTTATGGTGGAGACCAACCCTCACCCCTTCCTCTTTTTTTTTTTCAAGTATCCATAGTAAGAAGTGGGGAGGTACTCAGGAGCTATGTTATCATTGAGAAGGGTCGACCCCAGGCATCAACAGGTCTGTATTTTTTTTTAAGATCGGCAATATATTCTTTTGTATCCCACACTCATATCCCATTTGTAAATAAATAATGAAGTACCCGTTCTATTTCTATTGATTTTGATTTTGGTCATGGTATTTTGGCCAAATTAATCGTATTTTTTCTATATTTTCAATTGTTTTTTTTATTTTATTTTTTTTAATTGCTTTTGCTTACGTGTTTTTGTAGCTATCCAATTTTTCGAAAAAAGTCATGGCAATATTCCTAATTTTTAATATTCTCTCAATTTTTCTCCTTAGAAAATTCTTTCTAATTCGATCTATCCCTCACTTACGTCTCTTTTAAGTTTCAATATTTTTCTTCATAATATTTTTCTCTCTCTAAATAAAATTTTTAAACCATAAAAAATATTAAATATATTCTTAAACCTTTCATTTTCTACTTAGTTTTCAAATCAACCTCAATATAATTATCCATTTATTGATTTGTTCAATATTTAAAAATAAATAAATAAATTCAATAATATTTTAAATTTCTATTTTTTTTTTTTAAAACTAATTTTATCTGTCTAATAACGGTAGGTTTTTTTTTAACTATTCCTAACATTGACTTACCTTTCTTTAACGAATATTTATCTATTTAAAAGTATTCTTTTTAATCTTTACTCTCTCTTTTTTCATAACATTTTTCCCCAATTATATTTCTAAAATTACTCTCCAATTTTTCTCTCCCAAAGAAGTATCTTAACTTTTTATAAAACAAAAAATAAAAAACAATTATTTAAATCGAAAACCCAAAATTAAAATATATAAAATAAAAAAAAAATTAATTAAACTTTTATTCTATAACTATATTATTGAAAAGACAACGTGACATGCATCCATTATTGAATTATTCACAATAAAATTTTATAACATTTACTTTTGTGGTAAAAGTAAAAATTAAATCAGCATCCAAAAAATAAATTTTACTTCTACAACAAATCAACCTCCATATTAATGGTAAATTAGTAGAAATTGAAGCATTAACATATGGTTTAATATGGTGTAATTAGAAATTTAGAGTGAGAAGATATAGATTTAATAAATTAAAATGAGATTTTTGTAAAAGAAATATATATTATGAAATGGACTTATTTGGAGGTAAATGAGGAGTGAGATATTCTCGTAATACCGACACAAGTGGGTCCCATTTTTATTTTTTGGAATTTTGACTTTTCAGCTCATGGTGGGACCACATTTATGCAAGTTTTCAGATTTTATGGGAATTACAACATCAATCACGCTTTCCAACCACATCTCTATTATCTACCCTCCTACGAATATTATTTTTTAAATTATTATTTATTAGAATTTACATGCGAGAGTCATTAAAAAAAAGTATTAATTTAATTCTATATATATTTTTTAATAAAACAAACGAATGACATTTAAAAAACAAAGAGGGTTCGAGCTGCTTACAAAAGGAATGAAAGAACGAACAGGACAAAATGTGTATCCAATGATCAAACAAAGGAATGAAAAAAGAAGAAGACGTGAACATGCAAGTGCAATAACGTGATGAACAAGAACAATAGTGGGATGGAGGGAGGTTCGTCCGATTAATTTGTGATGTGCAAGTATGTAATATTATTTTTACACTCCAAAAAGATATTGTCATGTCCAATTAATTGGTCAGCTACGTAACACATGCACTTATTTAGTAGAGTACAACAATAATTCAAGTAGACCTAATTGATTTTCATAATCCATAAAGTTTACCGGTAATATTAGGTCCATTCCCATTACATTATATGCCCGTCAAATTCATTGTTAAAGATTTAGAGTTTTATAAACAAAATATTAGGAAGAAAAAAAAAAAGCAATTTAAAATATTTATGAACATTCATTACAAGCATTAAATTCAATTAAATGCAAGTGGTTGGGTATAAATCAAACTCAACCAGCTGTCCCAAAACATATAACATTTGTCACTACCACCAGCCCCACATCCAAGACTTTTATAGAACCAAGATTAGCATATTTCAGAAAGTATTTTAAAAGAGAAAAATCATATTTAAAAGTGTAATTAAAACCCAAATAGAATTAAGGAACAAAAGAGATTAGAGCATCTCTTAATATTTCATGCTTTATTTTAATACTAATCTTCTCAACGTAAAAGTTGAAGAACATACAGTGGAAACAGAGCTTAATAGATATACGAACACTACTACTAAGTTTAAATTTTTTGTTTTTATTATTTTGATACTTGGACTTTGTAATAGGCTCCCCAACTTGATATCTATATGGAAAGCAAGGGGTGTAGGGTCTAGCAGCTGGGGAAGGGAACGCCACACTTGGCAGCAACCTTTCTGGCGCCAGGAGATTGCACGTAAGGCCTCAAAGCTGGATTCCTTATATAACCGCAAAGGCATGGTTTTTGCTCTCTCAACTTGTTGCAACAAGTGCTGGATGGGGTCGACGACGACGTGATGGCCCCCGCACATGAGGACAGCTCCATAGGGCTGCAGTTCACAGCCTCCGCCACACGAGCTCCGCTCAGAAGCGCCACCATCACCGCCATGAAAAGGAAAGCAATTGTGATGGGGAATTTCTTCATTTTCTCTGGGTTTTGAGAGGAATGATATGTGTGGAAGGCAAGAGAAAGGGGAATGGTTGTGTGATTGGCAAGCGTTTTAGTAGAATTTATAGGCTCATAAAGTGGAAATTATGGAGAAAATGGGCAACCCTTTATTAATTTCTCACTTTTTTCTCACCTACTTTATTTCTTCATTTTAATTGTTAAACCTTATTTTTCATAAGGTAAGATTTTGATGATAACAACTAACTAATAAATATAGTTGGCATTAGATTAATGGTTGGCTGCTCAGGGTCATAATATTTGTTGAGTGGCCTAAATTGAAGCTAAATATGAAATTATATAAAAACAAGATTGTCACGTCATAAAAGTAACCGGAAAGGAAATTGTTATTAATACTTTGATCTAACTTAAGGGTTACAATTTAAACATAAATGCAACTATTCTAGATTCGATCCTATGGCCTCTAATGCAACATTGTTATCCATATAAGGGTTGTCTTACATTTACTTGAAAAATATAAGTAGCAGATGTCTTGAGTATTTTAAGAAAAACTTAATAAGTAACTCCACTATTGGGGTCAGAAAATACATCCACAAGCAATCATGGTGAGACATATCCTTTTATAAAAACATTTCATGCCCTTGTACACGGTTTTCCAATCCAAGCAAAAAATGGATGTGTTGTACTTCTATACACATGCCCACGTATGCACACGCACCAGGCAGGTGTATACGTATTCCTTGGGCTTGCCCCTCAGCTAGTGCAGCTCACGCTGCCGTAGCCATGGAGAGAAAGTAAGCCACATAATATCATGACATCCATAAATATTGTATGCGTTTGTACTCATCATAATGGGGAAGTATCCCGATGCACGTGACACACAAAATACATGAGGTTCTCATATCTTTAATCATGATATAAACATATGATGCTTGTTGTACATTTGTTATTTCATTGACATAACTTTTATGAATACATACGTGGTGTAACAGTATTTCATAATCCTATAGTAATCATGTTATCATAGTGTGCATAATATATCATATATAGGTATTATGCATCATATGACATGAAAGTTACAACAAGGTCCATAATATAACACAAACATCTCATATTCTAACTTACATAATGTGAATCAGATTGAGGGAGAAGAGAAAAAACTCAGAAGGTGAGGGTGAATCGAAGGAGAATCGCGCATGAAACCGCTCGAGAAGAAGGTTGAAGACATCCCGATCAGCGTGACACTACCCAATTCGTGTGACCGACCCGACTCGAGTATTTGACTCGATTTGCATGACTCAACCCAATCTGAGTATTTGACCCGATTTGTACCCAACCTGATCCGACTGGTACAAGTCGAAATCAAGGATTTTTCTTCCTTTTTCCACGCAAATGTGATCAATTCTATCCCAATCTAGTTATATTTCTCACTAATTTCCATGATCCCTCATTTTATAGGACATCGTTGAGGAGTTTAGTTAATTTGGAACATCCTTAAAAGACCCAAAATAAGTTCGAAAAGTCTACATTCATGTAAGTAACCGTATGGAGTAAATTGTCCTTAAGAAATATTTGTAGATTGTCCTTAAGAAATATTTGTAGGAGCCGATTTGATTTTAGAGCAAAGACTTATTAGTATGTTTAGGAGTTCTATCAGTTTCATGAGAATGTATATGTTAAAGATCACGTGTTTGTTTAGATTGCTGTCAGTTACTATCTAATTAAATCTCCCAGTTGATTTAGTTTTGATTTGTTTATTGGTTTGTTACCAAATTTTCTGCAGATCTTCAGATAGATTTTTTAATATTTTTTTTTTTATATTCTCTATTATATATAGAGCCTTATTGCTCTTCATAATATAATCTTCTTATCAACCATTCAATCACTCACTCTTTCACTAACAAATGGGTATCAGAGTCGTATTCTTAAGGGATCTGTGAGATCAAAATGGAAGGAGAATCCAGTTTTTCAGTTGTTGTACCACCAGTCTTCAATGGAGACAATTATCAAATGTGAGCAGTTCGTATGGAGATTTATCTAGAGGCTTTAGATCTTTGGAAAGCAGTAGAAATGGATTACGAGGTCTCTCCACTAGCACAAATCAAAGCATAGAAGTAAAAGAAGACAAGAAAATCAAAGGCAAAAGTTGCCTATTTGCAGCTGTATCTCAAATGATATTCATGCGAATAATGTCCCTCAAAACAGCAAAGGAAATGTGGGATTACCTCATAGGCTGAATGTGAAGGAGATGAGAGGATTGGTGAAATGAAAGTCCTGAATTTGATTAGAGATTTCGAGTTGCAGAAGATGAAGGAGTCTAAGTCAGTGAAAGAGTACTATGACAGATTTCTCAGCATTGCGAACAAGGTGAGATTGCTTGGTTATGTGTTAAATGATTCTAGGATCGTTGAAAAGCTGCTGGGTTCCAGAGAAGTTTGAAGCCACCATTACTACTCTGGAGAACACCAAAGACTTGTCAAAGATTTCTCTTACAGAGCTCTTGAATGCTTTACAAGCACAAGAGCAAAGGAGGTCTATGAGGCAAGAAGGGGTGATTGAAGGTGCCTTACCTGTTAATCATCAAGACAACAGCAGGTATAAAAACAAGAAAAGTTTCAAAAACCAATCGATGAAGGGAGATTCATCTGCCAATTATCAGAAGACAAAAGGAGAAGGTTCCAAAAAATCCTATCCACCTTGCTGCCATTGTGAGAAAAAAGATCATCCACCATACAAGTGTTGGAGAAGACCTGTCACCTTCTTCTCCAAATGCAATCAACTTGGACATGAAGCTATGATTTGCAAAGTCAAAGATCAGGTGAAAGAAGTAGATGCACAGGTAGCTGATCAAGAAGAAGAATATCAATTGTTTGTGGTCACTTGTTCCTCAGGCAAAGAATCAAAAGAGAACTGGTTGATTGACAGTGGGTGCACAAATCATATGACATATGACAAAGAGTTTTGCGAGGAATTATGAGACAATGAAGTCAAGAGAGTAAGGATTGGCAATTGTGAACACTTGGAAGTCAAGGGAAAAGGCGCAGTAGCTACAACAAGCTATGAAGGTACAAAATTTATTCCAGATGTTTTATTTGTACCTAAAATTGATCAAAATCTCTTAAGTGTTGGTCAGTTACTTGATAAAGGCTATAAAGTATTGTTTGAGGATAAACAGTGTTTGATCAAAGATGCTAACGGCAAAGACTTGTTCAATGTCAAAGTGAAAGGAAAAAACTTTGCTCTAAATCCGATGGAGAAAGAGCAAATGACCTTTATATCCAGAGCTAGTGCAACTGAGATTTGGCACAAAAGACTTGGGCACTTTGATCATCGAGGTTTGCTTCAGATGCAGTCAAAGAAGCTAGTTGAAGGACTCGCTGACATTGATGAAGACATGCCTCTTTGCCGTAATTTTTGGAAGCAACATAGGCAACCCTTTCCTAAACAAGCATGGAGAGCCTAAAAAAAAACTACCGTTGGTTCATACTGATCTTTGTGGTCCTCAACGAACACCATCATTAAATGGTAATATTTATTACATTGGTTTTATAAATGATCTAACAAGAATGTGCTGGATCTTCTCACTGAAGCAAAAGTCAGAAGTTGCAGGTGTATTTTGGAAATTCAAAGGCAGAGTTGAGAATGAAAGTGCATGCCTGATTCAGACTATAAGATTAGATAATGGCAAGGAGTACACTTCAGAAACTTTTAACAGGTTTTATAAAGAGGCTGGAATTGAACATCAATTGACAACACCATACACTCCTCAACAGAATGACATCAGTGAAAGGAGGAATAGATTCATAATGAAGATGACGAGATGCATGCTTCATGAGAAGGATCTTCTAAAACATTTTTGGGGAAAAGCAGCAAACACTGTTGTGTGCTTGCAAAATCAAATTTCAACAAAAGCTGTGAAGGACTTGACACCATTTGAAGTTTTGTATGACTACAAACCTTTTTTAAAGTTCCTTAGAGTATTTGGGTGTCTTTGCTTCACATACATTCCATAAGTCAAGCATGATAAGCTTGACAAAAAAGCAGAAGCTGACATCTTTGTTGGGTATAGCACTATGGCCAAAGCTTATAGAGTTTTTCAACCACACTCTAGTCATGTTATTGTGAGTCGAGATGTTCATTTTGCTAAAAATGAGCAATGATATTAGGAAGAACTGACGAAGGTCAATCAAATTTCTAATGCACCAAACAATTTAATCTTTGGTAGCATGTAAGAAGAGTCTGAAGATGAACAACTAAAAGAGTCTGAAGATGAACGACAAGATGCTTTGGTTGATGATGCACCTGTCAGAGGAGGAGCTTTTGGTAATCGAGAAACACAAACCTGGGAGTTGGTTGAATGACCTCTAAACAAAAAGATAATTGGAGTAAGATGGATGTTTAGGAAAAAGCTAGTATCAGGCAACTTACTGTTCTAGCTTGAAAAGGCAAAGTAACAAGTAATTACTGTTCCAAAAATAGGTAGTTTTACTATTATAAACTGGATGAGGGTGCATGAGCAGGTAGTTTACTAACCCAGACTCGAAGGGCATAGTGGCAGATAGTTTTATTGTTCTAACCATATGAGGTTACATGAGCAGGTAGTTACTATTCCATCCTAGAATCGACGTTGTGATAGGTAGTTACTGATCGTAAGAACAGGTAGATGTTGCCTGAACCATTAGGGAAAATCCACAGATTTGAGCTGAGTAGGTGGATAGGTACCGATGCCTATTGCTTTAGGGCATTCTCTTGGAGCAAAAGTTGGCTATCATTAGAGACAGTTTCAAGCACATAGCCTAAGATTCTGTGTACAGGATTAAGTCCGATGAGAGCCTACAAATATATTGCTTACTAAGTATTTTTATACCATTCCATGTTATTATACTTTTTTCATGTGGAATGTAGACTAGTGTCGGTGGTGGAAATGTGCAGAGCCGTGTGGCTGCAGAAGAGACCCTTAGATCGAGTCTTCTCCATCCATGTCACTTTTAGTATTATAAACTCATGTTATTTTGTAAAAAAAATTTATGTGACTATGTGGGATGGTTGTGCTTTTGAATTAGTTTGGTTTGAAATGCATGTTTATGAA